ACCTGCAGGATCAAACCCAAAAACACAGATGGTGCATGTTTTCAGAACAGAAAGAATTTGGCAAAAGACAGAAAGAAAGAGTTCATGTAGGTCAGCTGTTTTAGGAGAGATACAGACACAACAGGAAATTGAGATTGCCTGTTTAATAATTTGTAGTTTTTGTTATCAATTAACTACACTGGTTTGAAGATGATTATATTAGATGAAGTTTGTTTAATCACCTCCTATGAATGCTAGTATAAACCAACACACCATCATAAAGATGTGTGTGTTCTTGTGTCTGTGTCCTCTTATATTCTATAATCAGAGACTGGGGCTGGAGACGCCAGCTGATCCCTGCAGACCCCTGCTATTCAACAAGAGCCCCCCACATTCATCAGGATGCCTCGTGCTTCTTTGTGCTCAGCCTCAGCTCCAAAAGAAGAAAAGGGTTGGTGGCAGCTCCAAAAAATGACAAATATTAATGCAGGATGACAACTTCTGAGCTCTTTTATGTTATTATTAGCATTTGTAAAGAAATAAACAATAGAAAGCAAGCCTATCACACTCACATTAAATGTTTTCTAAGTAGCGTTTGTCCTTAAGAAACCTCAGTGTGTTGAAATCGACAAATTAGGAAATATTTCATCGATGGCCAAGATGCGTTCACAACGCATAAATAGAGACAGACAACTGTCAAATAATTTTAACAGTGACATCTTACCTTCTCCGTTATTTCCCGTCATAACTTTACCGCAGGGTGATGGACCTGCCCAGTATCCGCCATCACTGATTTGTTGACTCCTCCCTCTTTTTGTGACAGGCATCAATGTATCTTGCTGCTAGTAAGATACAATCTTGTTTTTCACCTAATAAATATTGAAGTTGTGTTTTCTTGTTTAACATTTTAAAATCAGGGTAAAGTATTTCAAATTTGGGATAAAATGTGTTTCTAATTTCTTCATAGTTAGGGCAGCTGGTGAGGAAGTGTTGCTCTGTCTCCACTTCCCCATGATGACAGTAAGGGCAGATACGGCTCTCTTTGGGCAGCCAGTGCTGTGGATATCTGCCTGTCTCTATAGTCAGAGTATGACTGCTCAGTCTGTACCTCGTCATCTGTCTTCTTAATTTACAGTCTTGCACTGTACTCAGATATTCTGCAGCAGTCTCATAGTACTCTCTCTCTCTCGCTCTCTCTCTCTCTCTCTCGCTCGCTCGCGCACACACACACACACGATGCGCAAAACTCCGCATTTGAACAGTCAATAGCAAATACTTAAACTAATAACAAAACAGTAGCTGATTCAGAAGCGCCAGATTGTCATAGCAAAGTCAGAATTACCTCCTCTCCTAGGTTCACGAAACAGTCGTCCATAAAATGCATTGCTGTTCTGTTGTAAGTAATCTTAAAGATTCCTAAATGCATCTACTTTCGGAAGACCAAATAAAGTGCTTTTGCTTTCGCCTAGAAACACACACCGTCTCCCTGACATGGCTGCTTCAACACTAACTGCTGTTACTGAAACCATGCCTTCTTTCTTTGCGTGCACATTTGGGTGGCATTATGCAAATATTTCCACATAGTGAGGTAGATATGTGGGGGCGTGTTAGAAGGAGCCGTTTTAGGGGGGCATGGCAGAGTCTTAACTTTGATAAAGAATATCTCTTTGATTTTGAGACTTTAGTCTTTGCAACTTCAGGGATCTTATCTATGCACAGATAAGACTCCAAAGAGAAAGGGATCAGCTTGTAACACTCCAAAGAGAAAGGAAAACTTGAAATCGCATCATATGACCCCTTTAAGTTTCAATGTCTATTTAATTTGTTTAATGATAAACATATAGGGGACACTTTATCTATCTATCGGTCAGTCTGTCTGATTCAGAATCTTTACAAAAAAAGAGAAAGAACTGAAGTAGCTTTATTTACACTCTAAAAAATGCTGGGTTAAAAAGGGACAAACCCAGCTATTGGGTTGTTTTGACCCAGCGGCTGGGTTGTTTTG